CTCATAATAATTCAAGTAGTATAGATAAAGTTGCATTTATAGAGGAAACACCTCTTCATACTAGTCTCCATGAACTCCTTTTGAATTGTTCAGAATTCCTCTAATAATATTCAGTCCACGGGCCTCTGCTTTGTTTTAAATTCATTCTGGGAACCAGGCCAGCTTCTCCCCGGTCGCATTTAACGTTTCAGCTCGGCGAGATCAGTTTTTTTCTTTTTCTCGAACAATCGCCGACAGTGAACATTTATTCGCGAACGTCGAATCGGAGTATTAATAATACAGATCGATTTACCTCCTTCTCCTATTCCAAGCTTGCAATCTCGCCGTTGAATCCGTTCAATCGAGGTATTAAATCCGCGAGCTTTTCGCGGTGCTCTCTCTGTTTCTGTCTTGCGATATTAATAAAATGGGCACGTCGAGAGGGACAGCCAGGTAACGGCGGAGGGGATAGAGCGTGGAACGACAGGATAAAAGTATTGGCAGCAATATCAGTAAACTGCATCTGGTGGTGGTGCTGCTGCATGTGCATCTGCATTGGCTTGCATCCCGACCCACTTTTATCTCCTTTTTTTTCTGGACCAGTTGGCCGCACCTGCCGGTCAGGAACATTTTCGAACACGCGTTCCCAGAGTCCTTTCATTTTTTTCTCTGCCCCTCCTACACATTGTCTTTCTCTCTCTATTTCACGAGCTCCCTGTGTCGAGAATCAAGGCTCGCCACACGTTCCTCTCTGTTTTTCTCCCTGGAAATTCAAATTTTTCGTTCACGGCTGTGAGCTTCGATCGAGCTTTTACACGACTAAAAAACAACAGACAGGTTTATCGCTGTTATAAAAGTGCGAAGACACAGTGGCAAACATTCCTTAGTTACGTAAGAATATATTCTATCGTTTCAGTATTCTATATTCTATCGCGAGTAAACACTGTAATAATAGGCGGGGCTGTACAGACAAAAAGGTGTAAACAGACAAAACGCGTATCAGGTGTTTCAACCGCGGTTTTATTGGCTTAGCTCTCCGCGACTCGTGTTCCTTGCATCCTAGCCGAGAAGCCTTAAATTCGCCTCGCCACGTTCGGATTACGCGTTTCTTCGTCTAGACAACAGCCCACATGGGGGGGGGGGAACCGTTCCAAGTCCGGCGAAGGTGCGCCCCGCTAATTCAGGTGTCATTTGTGCCCCTTTCACTGGAAAAATTCCGCTCGAGCGGCACACCAGGAATTGCCACGTTACCCGAGACGATTATCCGCACGAGTTCGCGTTCATCTTGGCACGTGTTCGTCGAAAAATTCATCCTAAAGGCTTAAGAGGTCTTTATAGGATTCTATTGTTGCAGGAAAAGTTTTTTAATTAGGGGTACAATTGAATAGCAAGTGATTATTCTTATAGAGTCTAGACACTTTGTTTTCTTAAAGAAACTTTTATTAATCCTTTGTCTTACGATTTTATTGGCGTTTACAGTGTCCAGAATTATTTTATTGTTTTACTCCCAACATATTTACAGAATACCAAAGTGTGTAAAACGATTTAAAAAAGATTAGTAAAGTGTCATTAACAATCAGGTCGCTCGATAAAGTACAGTTTTCTTCGTCCAGGTAACACTATACACCTGCATATTTATTTAATGCCCAATAATCGTGATCACACCAACGTTCCTCCACTTGCAACACTCTGTACAATATTCTCCTACGATCAGACATGTTCTCCTCGCATTTCTTCGCGAACTCTCGCTTTCACAACGATCCCAGTCGTCGTTCGAGGCGGCCAGAGCTGCGAAATTGCACGAAATTATCGCGAAGAATCGAGCTGGAATTAAATAGACGAATTATAGTGCGACTTGTCGGGGAGAGAACAAATGAAAATCGTACTGGATTCGTCGAGAAGCGTGAATAGAATCGTCTGATTGCGTCATCGGCGAGAGTATTATACTCTCTGGAACGAAATGATCGAGGAGACACGAAGCCAGGAAAAGAAAGAAACAAGGTAAACGATTCGTCGATGTTATCGGTGATAGATAGACGATAGTTTACACGATTATTAAGCGTGATTAGCTCTTAACAGGATACTCCCTAGTGAAGAACGATCGATCGAATCGCGTTGGCGAACGCGGAAGCAGAAGAGCGTGTAGATCCGATCGTGACGGAAATAAGAATAAAGGATTCACCTGACTCGGTGAAAACGGACAAAAAAAAAAAAAAAAACGCGGCGCTAGAAGCACCGGAAGATGGGGACAATAGGCCGGAAGAGAGACGTACCGAACGAGCGTTTGGACGTTTCTTTTATTTATCTATCGTTCTCCATTTTGTAGCTATCGCTGGAATATCCTATTTTTCATAGACGAATAGACTAACAGTCTGTTTGGAGTATTTTTATTCCGGGCTGTTATAGTGGTCTGAAAAAAAGTACTTTTGATTCGTGGTATCGTTAGTTCGTGTTATGGGGAATTGGATTCTGGAAGGATGATTATTGAAGTATTCAGGAATGAGAAGTAGTAGTCAGAAATGGGAATTAGTATTCAGGAATGAGTGGTGTAATACATATTCAGAAATGACTGGAATAGTTAATTTTGTTTACAATATGGAATACAATATTTTTGTTTTTTTCCCCACTTATTTGTACTTTTTTTTCCACTTCAATATTTTGAAGTAGTTTAATATATTAATCGTTCGAAGTAAATTGGTAAAATTGATAAAAAGTATAAAGAGCCATATAGAGTCTCAGCTAGATACTTTTTATTTTTTTTTCTTACTAAGATAAAACGAGATCGTGAGCCTCGCGGTGTTCCAGAACGAGGAGTGTGGAGAACAGGCTCGTGCCACGATATCCTCCCATTAGCTTATTATTTTTATCGATGTAATTTACGGTTACCATTATGCATTTCCAGCCACGGCGCTTATAGTCGGTTACGGATGTTAACTGGAACTTGAAAATCCATTGCGAACCGTTTCTGTGGATCGCATGGCGCGTGAGTAAATAGGTTGCTGCGTTTATCGTTCTTATTCGTCTTTTTCGTCAGATGGATGGAGGGAGTCTCGTTGATCTGGTGTTAATATTAATTTTGCTGGAATAGAAACAGGTTTGACACGGTTATTGGTGTCATTTTCTTTTGGACATTGTTTGTTATAGACTTACATGCTATTACCTTTTTCTTTGGGCACTAAGAAATGTATAAAAGAGGTGACATACACATTTTTTAAAGAAATTAAAGCGTAATGAAGTTGATAGAATCTCTGGTTTACTTGAAGCTTGATAGATCCTTTAGTAGATGAAATAAATCCCTTCGAATCATTCCACAAAAATTTATATTTGTGTGAACATCCATGGCCTAATTATTACCAGGAGAAGGTGTTAATATTGAAGTTATTTTAGATGGTATTAATTTTCAAGTTACGTAATCCATAAAAATTTACATTTGCGTGAACATCCATGACCTAATTATCACTGTGAGAAGGTATTAAGTTCGAAGTTAAAAATTGATACTTGCGTGAACATCCATGGCCTAATTATTCGTAGGACGAGCTGTTAATTTTGAAGTTAATTTCGAAAATATTAATTATAAGAGAATCCGTAAAAATTGATATTTCTGTGAACGTCCATAGCTTAACTAATACCAGTAAAAGGTATTTGTTTTGAAAAAAAAAAAAAAACAAAAAATTAAAAAACCTACATGAGAGATCTTTTGTTCCACTTCAATTTCAATGGACTCCCCGTTAAAAATGTGACCTCGTGCGCATTGTGTATTTACAGTAGCATTTCGTACGCGACAGTCTGATATTCGTCAACGGGCATTATGTTTAATGAACGTGGCCAGAAATCTCGGTATCTCTCGTAATCCTCGTTATCCGTGAAACGCGGCAGCCTGGAAAGAGAGATTAATCGCGTTCCGGCGCGAAACTGGAATACGCAACCAGCCGCGGATATTTGCATATATGCGCGCGCTCGTTAGGGCTTTAGGCCACTTCTTTGCCAAGGTTGGCCGATCGTTTTTCTTAACGAGCTTTTTCGAAATAAGAAAAACACATAAACTTGTCCCAGCTCTTAATTGTCGACGATAATTGCCTCTTATCGCGACCGATTAATCGGCGGTGTTGTTCAATTTCTCTCGGCGTCGCCGCAGGTTTCCTCGAGGCGTGATTCTGGGGTTTTTCATTTGGGAAACTGGATCGACGTGAATATTTGCATACATTTAAATCGTTTCTGGAGTCCTGAGATTGTCAGTTTCTGGACATTTTCAGGATTTATTGTGTTTTTTGTTTTCTTAAAATTCTCTTCTCATTTGTCTTCTGTATTTTAAAATTCTTCGATTTTTAGGAACATCGAATATCGTCGAAAATAATATTTTTTCTCCTTTGATTTCCCTTCATTTTACACTATCTCAAAAAATTCTCAAGACGTCCTATTACGTCAACCGCTCTCAGCTTTTGTTTCTGAAAAGTCGTATTACTACGATATCCGACATGAAAATGTTAACAGTAGACGACTACTGTTTAGACAGTCTGCTTCGACCAAATTAAATTAATACCTTGTTATCTGCTCTCGGGCCTGGAGCACGCCTCGTTTTCCCCATAATTGGTAATGACACAGTCGTCTGTAATTTGGCGAATGAAATCATTCGGGTTCCTCTCTCCTACAGAAGAAACTTGATCCGTAAGTGCGCCGACAGTGATTGGACGTTTATGGCATGTTCAGTGAACGTGGAAATTACAGTAAAAGCCTCTAATAAGCTTCCAATCTGGTTCGTTAACAAAAGTTTCTATTGCAAAATCCAAATTAAATAAATACTGTATTTGTCAGAAATCGTATTGTTAATAGAGTAATTGTATTCGTTTCGGTTAGGTTTGGGTTTTAGCGAGTAGAAAGGGAAAAAGGAGAGGGCAAATAAAGCGAGAGGGCAAATAAAGCGAGAGGGCCTAGAAAAAGCAGGATCGTTCGCGAAGAAACGATCGATCGTGAAGTGCCAGCCCCAAGGCGCATCGGTAACGCGTTTCTCCTTTCATTTTCAGCCTGTGCGGTAGTGATCGTGGCCTCGAAGCGAGTCCTTTTACGGCGGGGGACGAGCCATCGAAAGCGGAGACACCACCACCACCCCCTCCGTTCTCTCCATCCTCGACTTTGGCCCACAGACGCGAAAGGAGGCGCGCGTCGACGGAAAAACGAGAAGGACGAGGAGAAGAAGAAGCATCATTGGGTGAGCCGAAGACGGCCGGCAGGTACAGAGCCTCCAGCATGGAATAAAGGGGACGGTGGAGGCTCGATGATCATAAACCGAGAGAGGATCCAGGGAACGAAAGATCGTGGTTGGCACTGGATAGGGCCAGGTAAAGCCAGGATGAAGTGATCTTGAAGCCACAAATAGAAAGAGGATATAGGAAACATTGAAGAGAAGAAACTTGGAAGATCCTGAGGACCCATTTTGTCACTGGGTGGAACGAAGATTGTAAGGGATATCTCGATGAAGGAAACGAAAGGAGCAGAAAGCTTGTAGGCCAATAAAGAAGGCTAGGATTAGAAAATTGCAGAAGGATAGAGACGACTTGGCTATTCGCCAGATCGAAGAAGAACCGCAGAAAAAATTCAGGGGATCTTGGGATCTCTGGTCTGACTATCGTTGCAGGGGAAATCTTCGATGAAGGAAATGGAACAAACAGAAAGCTTATAGACTAATAAAGAAGGAGAGAATTAGAAAATTTCAGAGGGACAGAGAAGACGAGATCTGAACAGTCTCGCAGGAATAACAAATTGAGAACAGAAATACTATAATTGCATGGTGAATCTTGACGAAGCCAACGAAAGAAGCAAAAACCTCCTAGACTAACAAAAAATAACAAGATTAGGAAATTTCAAAAGGATAGAAAGGCCTTGGTTACCCACGAGATCTGAGCAATCTCAGAAAAACTCAGGAGTCAAAGATCCTGAGGACCTCTTGTCACCGAGCCTATCATTGGACGGGACATTAAGACGATAAAAACTCAAAGACTAATAAAGAAGAACGGGCTTAGAAAATTGCCAAAGGGATAGAGATCAGAAGAAACTCAGAAAAAATTCAGTAATCACTGAAGAAAGGCCTAAATGCCAGATGAAAGGTAGAATGTAAAGGGATCCAGGAAGGGGACGAGAGGTGGCTGATCCTGAAGGATTGCTCGTCCCGGGGGGTAGTCGAGGCGATATCAGAAAGTGAAAATTGATTGGAGGAGAGCTGAAGAGGGATCGATACCAGGGGGAAACGCGGCGAAGGGAAGCTAAATGCCAGATAAAGGGGCGATCGTGGAGAAAGAAGCAGAGGTCTAGTGGAACAGGGGGAGGGAACCGTCGAGGGAGAGGAATGGGTGCCGGGATGGGCAGGAGCGGGACGAGCGGCGGTTTCCTCGAGGCGCTTCCTACGGGAACGCCGCTCCACGTGGCGATGCTGGGACTGGACAGTGCTGGGAAAACCACAGCCCTGTATCGGCTCAAGTTCGACCAATATCTGAACACCGTGCCCACCATCGGGTTCAACTGCGAGAGAATTCGCGGTGGCATCGGAAAAGCGAAAGGTACTTGACATTGTTTCTTACATTTTTGACTTTGCAGCTGTTTTGCAGATTTTTTTTTACGTGAAGTAACTTTTCACATTAACTTTCACTTAACCTGCTAACTGCATTGGTGTACTGGGCCATTCCACGTGAAATCGAACACTTTTTGGAGCACGATATCGGATTTTGTTCAAATTTAGATATGTTGTAGTCTTTAGGGATATACAAATGTATCTTGAAGGATTTTTAAAGATTTCAGAGCTGTTTGAAATTTAGTGGCAACCTTTTTTCAATAAACTATAAGTATCGGACTAACGAACTGATCGAAATAAAATTAAATACAATTATTTCAGTTAGAAGCATTATATTTTTTAACCATTTATTTTGTAATTGTTTACAAGAAATGTAATTTTATGATAGCGAGGCAGTATTGAAAAAGTTTTGACGACTCACAATAACGAATAGGACTTAAAGATTATCTTCGCGTTATTCTTCAAATGAACACTAAAATTCAACTCACGAAATAGCCCAGTATACCATTCCAATCGAGTACAAAATTACCCAAGACTCAGGCAAACTAATCTCTCCAATCTCCCAATTTGTCATCGATTATTTCCACTAAACCTCCCATCTGCGCTTAATAGACCGGAAGGAGGATGTTCCCAGGACACCGTACGATCTAGAATCCTTGAAAGAGGACATTATCAGAAGGGTCCATCATTTTTGTGCATGTGTGAAACAATCGAGTCGTTCTTTCAATCCCATCAGTTAATTTTCTTCGCAAAAGGCTGGGAAATGAATGGATTCCCGTTCATTGTCTGTCACAGGTGTGAATTTTCTCGTGTGGGATGTGGGCGGGCAAGAGAAGCTTCGACCGTTGTGGAAGTCGTACACACGTTGCACAGACGGTATCATCTTCGTGGTGGACTCGTGCGATGCTGAGCGGCTCGAGGAGGCTAAGATGGAGCTGACCAGAACAGCCAGGAGCCCAGACAATGCGGGCGTGCCGATTCTGATCCTGGCCAACAAACAGGATCTACCAGGTGAGCCACGTGAGGGCCTTATCCTCCCCCACTCGTACGCAAGTCGCGTTCCGTGGCCCCTTTTCGAAACGAGATCGCGCTCGTGACATAATCTCGATCCTCCTGTTACGATGTTTTTTTTTATTTTTTCGTTGGTGGGCCTTTGAACAGATTTCGGGAGACCTTTCCATTCGACATACAGGGTGAATCACGAATCTTGATCAGTAGAAATTACTTTATTATTAGCAGTCCGATCGAAAATGTTTTTATTAAGTATAGCACAGTTTCAAGAGAGATTCAACGTGATTATAACAAATTTTTTGTCAACTCTTTTTTTTTTTTATGATTTTTACCAAAGTACAGTAAAGTATCGGTAATCGATCCCTTGAAACATTCTGGAATAGTCGCGAATACTTTTCTCAGACCTCTTGGTTAACAGCTACCATTTTATTTATCAGAGATGAATAATGATTTACACATATTTAGAGTACAGGAAGACCTCGATAAATGTTCGAGACACGTAATAACAATTTATATACCCGAATGCACTAACGTGTAACTGGACTATTCGAACATAATACTAAACATAACTCGTTTGTATAAGAATAGACAAGATAAATGTAAATGGAACGTTATCGTACTTTTATTGAACGCTATATTAGTACACAATGAGAATCACTGTACTCCTTACCGTATTTCTAAAGTTTCCTTCCTGTTCTCCGATGTTCTAAATCGCTTTACCCTTTATAGTCGAGAACAGCGCGCTTTCCGGGATCGTTTCGATGGAAATTGCTTCGATATTGACTCCGACAGTCGGTTTCCCCGCCGGAAAATAGAATCGTCTTTGAAGTCTTAAGAGTGTAGAAGCAACCGACTCGTGAAAACACTGCTCTGTATCAGTTCGAAGTGTACGGCTTCGCTGGACAGACTGTGACTACACTTGACCGCGATTTATAGTGGAATATATTTAGATTCTAAATCACAATCTTCATCGAGTGCCGACTCTTCATCTTCTCAATAGGTTCCTTCTAATAATAACCGAAAAAAAAAAAAAAAAGATTCCGTCAAAGAGAGCTTGATATAAAATTGTTAAGACAAGCTATATATACTGTAAACCCATTTGGATCGTCCGTTGCGTAACTAAACCCGTGTATTGAATACTGTATATCATCCACGAGGATTACTACACAGACTTATACCTTGTTACCTGCAATATTGGTCTCCAAATCCTGTATTCCGGATCAGCTGCGAATTTCATCCCTCGACGGACTAAATCAATTCACGAAATCCTTTATAAACCTTGGTCGGAATCCCAAAACAGAAGATACCTATCGTCCTCGGACAATTAGAAGATCAAGATTTTCCTCATTCGATTGTGATCACTCTACACAAAAACTGATAAGCATTTTAATTTGATAAAACTCTACTGATAGGCACATTCCTTATCTGCCAAGAAGACTTTCATCCTGTAAATAACAATTGTTGCTTCAAAATCATCGTACCTGGTTAAACTATCTACTCCATCTCTATCATCGATTAAGAACCTAAGAAGATCCACCATGCATCCTTAGTTCACAGACCGCTAAAGAACATTCATCACACCTGGTCAGCCATAAATCCTTTCACTTCATGCACGTAAATTCTTCACCCTACCTAGTCACACTCAAGTTCATCAGGATCACCGATCAAGAGCCTAAAATGATCCTGCTCGGCCACCATTCACTGCTAAGCACTCTGGTCAACTAAAAAACCTTCCACCTCATGCACAGGACCATTGATCAAGAACCTAAGAAGATCAGCTACCATTCCGAAGAAGATCCTCCTCAGCTACGATTCCTTACCAAAGAAGATCCTCCTCAGTCACGATTACTTTCCAAAGAAGATCCTCCTCAGCCACGATTACTTACCAAAGAAGATCCTCCACAGCTATCATTCTTTACCAAAGAAGATCCTCCTCAGCGTGATTACTTTCCAAAGAAGATCCTCCTCAGCCACGATTGCTTACCAAAGAAGATCCTCCTCAGCCACGATTACTTTCCAAAGAAGATCCTCCTCAGCCACAATTACTTTCCAAAGAAGATCCTCCTCAGCCATGATTACTTTCCAAAGAAGATCCTCCACAGCTATCATTCTTTACCAAAGAAGATCCTCCTCAGCGCGATTACTTTCCAAAGAAGATCCTCCTCAGCGCGATTACTTTCCAAAGAAGATCCTCCACAGCTATCATTCTTTACCAAAGAAGATCCTCCTCAGCGCGATTACTTTCCAAAGAAGATCCTCCTCAGCACGATTACTTTCCAAAGAAGATCCTCCTCAGCCACGATTGCTTACCAAAGAAGATCCTCCACAGCTATCATTCTTTACCAAAGAAGATCCCCCTCAGCACGATTACTTTCCAAAGAAGATCCTCCTCAGCAACGATTGCTTACCAAAGAAGATCCTCCACAGCTATCATTCTTTACCAAAGAAGATCCTCCTCAGCCACGATTACTTTCCAAAGAAGATCCTCCTCAGCCACGATTGCTTACCAAAGAAGATCCTCCTCAGCCACGATTGCTTACCAAAGAAGATCCTCCACAGCCACGATTCCTTGCCAAACAAGACGACCTCAACTCTAATTCCCAGTTCTATCCAACTGACCAAGCAATATTCCCAACTGTCCACAGGTGCAAAAGAGGTTGGCGAGCTAGAGAAGCACCTTGGTGTCCTGGAGCTGGCAGGTATGCCAGGAAGCTCGTGCATCAGGGTTCAACCAGCCTGCGCGATTACCGGCGAGGGCCTCCACGAGGGTCTGGACACTCTATACCAGCTGATCCTGAAGCGGCGTAAGCTCGCGAAACTGAACCGAAAACGGGCCAGGTAGGCCAGGGCCTCGGAGGACTGCACGTGCGTCTTCTGATATTGTCAGTCGCGGACAGTCTCTCCATTGGCGCCAGCTACACCCTCTGTGGTGTCTTCTTCCTCGACATCCGCGTCGTCGCGCGACGTCCGCGAGGTGCTCGAGTGAACCCATGTGCCCCGTTGCTCATCACGCGGAACAATTGTTTCTTTTCGATCGCCTTTCGCGTCGGCGAGAACCACACAATTGACGTTGTTCCCCGACCGGTGATGATCATCGATTTTCGGCCAGCGTTGTTGCTCTGCTGCGACGTTCTCTGCCGAGTCAAGCTGGTGTTTTCGAGACGACGGGGACCTGAACACAGTTGGATTCGTCGAGGTTCGGTAACCTTGAAATTGGTCCCTGAGCATCTCAGTCTTCCTTTGTTCGAGGTCTGATTGAAGAGGAATAGAAGCAATTTTTGGGAGCAGGATGAGTTCTGAAGATACAATCGACTCGAAGAAATGGAGTCTAGATGTGTTCACCAGCTGTTGTCTTTTTGTATCAGGATGGATTCCTTCAGAGGATGATCAGTGGACGCGATCATCGAAGATACGAGTGACTTAAAGAAATGGATTTAGGTATGTCCATCAACTGTTGTCTTTTTGTATCGATCAGGATGGACGAAGATCGCTTCAGAGATCAGTAGAAGTACGAGTAGCTCGAATAAATGGGGTCTAGATGCGTCCACCAGCTGTTGTCTTTTTTTATCGATCAGGATGGATCCCTTCAGAGGATGATCCATGGACGTGATCATCGAGGTTGCAGGTTTTCTAAGAGGATCAAGAGATAGAGAAACGGAATCGTAAGAACTACGTGGTTAAGCCGTGACCAAGTTGTTTCTTGGACGACAACGAAACAAGTGCTTCGTCGACTCTAACATAGAAGCTCTATTTTACCAAAATTCGAAAGCGTTCTTTTGGGGATATACTACTTCGTAACGACGCTAATGATGTTTTCGCCCGAGACGCTCGGTTTTGTTATCGATAACGAGGCTGGGACGCCTGTTTTGTTACCGAGAAGAGGTCAACCGGGAGGTTCCGCGATAACACGACTGCCTCGTCGACTGATAACGATGACGCGGGACCAGTCGTATTAATAACAATGACGACTTTCGTGGAAAACAACAAAGATGTATCAATGGGAACGACGTCTTGGAATAGGAACAATGAAGAAACAATCATTTTGGTGATGGGACTGATCGCGTAGAGAACGCAACACCCTTGAATGATAGATGAATCTTCATTCTTCAGGGTTTCTAATCTGGTTAAATTTCATTCCAAGACCCAGATAATCAAATCGATCCTGGTCCCATCACCGCTCGTCAGACCAAGGGTCTTTTTTTCTACGATTCACGTGTATATCAACCACGTGTATAGCCTGGTTGATCGATCCATAGGGGAAGATCTCGAGTACAATCGTCTGGAAGCAAAGAGAGATCGTCGACCTAGCCACGGTCTCTCGAAGCCGCGTAAAATGGAATATTTGTATCTCTAACAATCATCGTATTATACCGTGCTAGGAACACTCGGTAGTACGCGTTTATTGGGTAGACTTCGAGGTGAATATCGTGGACACCTAGGTGTCCCGGCGATGACCGTGCCTCTTCGGATTTTTGCACCTTTATACGTTGTAACGTGAAGAAGAACGACCGCGTTAGGGTGTCGCGGGCCCCAATCCCCCCACCGTGTAAAACGATTTTTGTAAAACGATGTGATAACAATCCCAGAACCCTAACCCTTGTAACTAGCGTATAATCGCGTGTGTATACATATTGCGCGAATAATTCTTGCCGTTTTTGTGTGGCGTCTTATGGACCAAGCGGCACGAATCATTTGGGCATCGTCTGTGGTTCGATCGGTTAATTCTTGCTGGTTATACAGGGTGTCCCACTCAACGTGAGTACCTTAAATATTCCACTTGCTTGTTGAAGATAGAAGAGGCAAATATTATTTGGTTGCAAAGGGAAAATACTGTGATAATCAAAGCATTGTTCTCAAGGCCATATTTTTCGAAATTTCAACCTCGGAATTCAAGCCTTGAGAATTTTTTCTCACGGAAGATCGTCCTCAGCCACGATTCCATTCGAGAATTTTTTCTCACGGTATTTAGCCCTTCCAAACGAATAATAATTTCCTCTCGGATTTTTTTTCTATCATCGAAAACAAGTGAAATATTTAAGGTACTCACATTGGGTGGTACACCCTGTATATGGGCGTCGTATGGACCCAGCGGCACGAATCATCCGAGGGTAGATATTGCTTCAATGATTCTTCCCGATCGTATATGATTGGTTAATCGATTCAGCGGTAAGAATTGTCAGCGTACAGTGTGTACACGTGTACCTGTATATTTGTACTCGTTGTCTGTCGTGCTATATAGCCCGGGGAAGAAGAGGACAGGAGTGAGCTCGTGGAAGAAGCGAACCGATCGTTTTGAGCTTCGAAACCATATACATATCTCGAGGAAGTCGAACGGTGCTGCTCTCGATGATCGTTGGATCGTGATACGTTACATATATATATATATGTAAAAATATACATATATCGTTTTTTAGGGAAGCTAAAGTGATTCGTTGAGTTGTTTTCCCGATGTGTTACGCGTTTGATTGCGAGTTTATTCGAATAGTACGAGTCGATTCGTCGTTCGATCGGACCTGTCTTCACTTTGGGGCCAGTGATGGGCGAGATTTGCTGGCTCGATTCAGAATCATTAGTGTCTGAGTACTGGAATGTTATTTTTGGTGGTAGACTGTGGATTTCTGTGCGAAATCACGTTTACAAATAAACGAAACAGGAAGAGGAATTTACCTTCTTTCTTCTATTAAGAGGTACGTGAATCGTTGCTTCATTAATTTCACTGTTTCTGATTTTCTTATAAAAACCACAATGTTCAGATACATCTGTTCAGGAATGCATTCTGGACTGCATAAAATCTACAGTCAAATTTTTCTACCATTAAAATTCAGCTCTTGTGTGAAAAGTGTATACGAAATCTTGAAGGAAGAAAATTCTGTTCGTTGTTTACAAGTATGTCGATTAGAGAAGAAAATTATTCTGCCCGTATCTGAATGAAACTAGGATCGATTCTCGATCTCGCGATAGTTCGAACGAAAGAGCTCAAAACGGTGTGCGCTCGTGGTTCCTTGCCAGGTGGTAATATCGAGATCCCTCTGAAATACGCACTTCTGGGAGCGAGTAGTTCTTATCGACCATCTTGTCAGACTTTCTTCTTCGGTTTTTTTTCTTTCTATTTTCAAAAGCTGCGTTTCCGTGTGCGTAACGATCGGCGCGGAGAACTCGCATATACACTCGAGACACTGCTCGAGGGTTTCGAGTACGTTCCTCGAGTTAAGCTGCGTCTGCACTATACAGAAAAATTATCAAACTTGGAAAAACAGACAGAAAATTGTTATATAACATTTTTTGTGGTATATGCAAGTTACATGTCATCCATCAAGTCTGTCACCATTATTGACTCTTTGTTTTACGATTTTTTTGAAGCTTACCGTCTCGAGAATGTCTTTATTGTTATTAGTTTTCTAGAAATAAAAGGAATTCTCTACTAATCGCAGGTGCACATTTATTCTAAAAGTGAAATGTTAATGTTAGCTAAATAGTGTTTCACTTCTTTATTGAATCCCTTATTGAAATTGTCAAAAAGGGGTTAATAATGAAATGCGAAATGTTATACAAACTTGTTAAAAGGTGTAATCTTGTAACAAGTTATAAAAATATGTTGTATAACAATTTGTTTTACAACACTTTTTTGTTGTATAGTACAGACGCAGCTTTAAATAGACGGGAACGGTGGTTCAACGATACTCGAAATCGCTTCCCACGCGATGGAATATCGTTATCTACCCCTTCGAATCGGGGTTGCTAGCTTTTCCTGGCTCAAGAAAGGGGAGATTAGTCAGGAAGTACCAAAGCTCGAGTTTGTATTGATCTTTCCGCGTTTTTCGGTCGCTGGACTTGTAATTTTTGTTGAAACTGCAGTGGAATGAAAAGTCGATCTTTTTTCGAGGGAAAAAAAGGTGAGAAGATCTACAAAATGATCCAAAGATAATGGACAGTTGTTGGGAAAATTTCGTTAATATAGAATCACCGAAGTTTAGAATCATTTAGAATTCTATTCATGGTCGATGGGAAGTGCGAAGTCTTGAGTATAGGATGCTGGAGTACTCGTCGGTGAGTCATCGTTCGAAACGTGTCGCCAAGAGAAGTGTCGATGAGTCATTAAAACCTTCGGCCGCCTCGAAGGGACTTTTCCGACACCTGTATAAGTGTACAAGAAACACTAAAATGATTTTGTGGATCTTTTCAGATTTTCGGGATGTGTAAAATTTTCTGTTTAATCTTCCGAGAGTTAGAAGGAAGGTGGTCGAGATAGGAACAACTCGCTCCACTAACAATTAGACGCATCTTCACCGCGAAGATCGTTCCACTTCCGGTTTCACGACCGCGAAAACTGGAGATCACCCGCGGAAAATATCGTGCCGAACTTTTCAGATTGTTCACAGTTCTCGTTGCCTCGCCCTTTTAGTCGCGTATTTTTTTCCAAGAATGCAGCATTTCTTCCATACTTTTCCATTGTTCCTTTCCCAAACGTCCAAACTTCGCCCAGATTTAGCACAAAGAAGATATAAAAGGTCGCCAAAATTGATCTCCCAGAACGGGTGCAGAAGAAATAAGAAACAGCGGGAAAGCTTTCTTGTACACGACTTCGCCTTCAATATCCACGAAGATCGTACCTTTTTTTTTTTTTTTTAATTAAAGTATCCAGAGGAAAGGCGATGAAATTGAAGCGGGTAAGAAAGGTCGAAATAAGACAGAGGGAATACGAGTTCTAGGAAAGGTAGAAGCTGAAATCCGAGTACAATTCTGTGCGCAGACTTCGCCTTCGAATGTGTTTCAACGATGGAAGCTTCTTATTGCCAGCAAAGAATTTGAAGCGATCGAAAGAGCTTCCGGAATGGAAATAAATCCTCGAGAAGAATGGAAAATCGAAACAGATCCTGCAATTTTCCTT